TTTAACTCGTATACGGAAACATATATGTGTTAAAGGTGTTACCACCTAGTAATTTATGTTATCAACTTTGGTAATTTAAATTATATTTCAAGTTGTTATATTTTTGTCTTCTCATTCTTGATGTTTGGCTTTATCTATAAGGTTCTGTAGGTTATTTAACATTTTATGAGGGTATTTTAATTGTGCTTGCCCCTTTCTTTTGTTGTTTTGAGTGTGTTGTTCAATACGTTGCGATTGTGTTTTGTTGAGCTATTGTCACTTGTTGTCTGTGTGCTTGCTCCTAGTTCAGGTGATGTATCTTAGGTTTTCTGTTGTTGTATGATTTGTCGTTCTATTGATTTTGCTGGGATTGACCCATTTGTTACAACAGTCTATTCTACCCGATTTGGTTGTTCTATTTTACTTTCAACTATGTTTTAAAATATGATATGTTGGTAGATGTTTTAATATGGTATGTTTTAATATTGTAATTTTGTTAGTGTGGATGTTATATAAGTTTTATTAGGTTATTCTGTTTAATTTGTTTTTTAATTTGTTTAGTAATATTTTGAACATGTTCACGAACATTAAACGAACACGTTAGCTAACGTTAAATGATCGAACAGAAACACCTATAAAAATAAACAAACGAATACAAATATAGTCTTGTTCGTTCAAGCTCAATTCATTTATACTCATACCAGTCAGAAATTGAAGTGCCTTAGCACTAGGTGAGATATATCTGGATATTTTTAACAAGCAAACAACCGTAAAATGCTAAAGTAGCTCTGATGTCCTGGTTGTTTCCCTAGTGTCATACAAAGGCTAGTTTTATGTCATCATAATTTTCACTATTTATAGTTGTGTTTGTATTTATTTATGTTGCTCTTACTTGTAGGCTTATTTATAAAGTTCTAATGACCATTGATCCCCCCTACCTGAACACCTGAATCGAAATGAGTTTCTTACCCAAACCAGGACGAGGGTACCGATACTGAGCATTTCAGTATCGATATTAACCCTTGGTATCAATGCTAAAATGGCTACTAGATTTTGAAAGGACTATGTAGTATCGATACTCTTAGCTGGAGTATTGATACTCTTACATTAGGGTATCGATACTATCACAAGTATCGATACCAAATTTTGTTTTGATATTTTGAAAAATACCTTATTGAGAGTATGTATACTCTACCGTCAATATTGATACTCTCATGAGTACCAATACCAAAATTGGTTGATGGAATCTGAATTGTTATGTTAGTATAGATATTGCGTTCAGAATATCGATACCACATGAACATGTATCGATACTCCCAACCCAAAACACCATTTGTTTTAGACTACATAAAGAACAATATCGATATTGCTTGTTTAGTACCAATACCCAAACCCAAAAATACCCTTTTTTAGTACGAAAATATGCCCTAACACTACCCATTTGCACTACTAAGGCCATTAAACAATGTCTAATACTTATGTGAGCTATTATGGGTTACAGGGAGTCATTTTTCATGTTGAAAACATCATAATCAAAATCTACCATGAAATGCCCATACATGCTTCATGAACTCAACTAACTAACAATGCATACCTAAGGTTTTGCATGGTCAAAACATGATAAGATGAGCTTGAAAGGAAGCTTAGTGGATGGAGGTTTCATTTCTTACCTTGAAATCTTGAAATGAGGATGAATAGTTGACAAAGTTATCACCTTTGTGGAATTGAGAGAAAAGGAAAATGAGAGATGTAGGAAGAAAAAGAAGAGACAAAAGAGTGAATGAAATGTGAGATCACCCAAAATTAATAGAAATCAGTCTTTGTTTGAAAAATGGGGATATTTGCTCCTTTAATCCTCCCTCTTTTGACTTAAGATTAAAAATGTTTTTTTAAGTCTTACTGGGCTCAAACTAAGCCCAGACTAAACCCAAATTGAAATAAGCCTTCTTACAAGTTAATGAATTTGATCTAAAACTCTCTCGGATTAGCTCAAGAATCCTAACCTAAGGTTTGGGCGTTACATATGTCATCTAATCAATATAAATTAGGTACCGCTAGATTTTTTATTAAAATATCTAATTATTATAATTAAATTTAGATATCCCATATTTAAATATTAGATTTTATTTTTTTATTTAAAATATATAACATATTATTAATATTTAGAATAAACTACATAAGATATTAGCAAATTTTAGGTGATGTATCGTTTATATCATTGATTTTTTAATTGTTTCAATTAAAACATTAAATTTTCATTTTTGTTTCAATTATATCACTAGATCATTAACTCAACAACGGTATGATGTTGTGGATGATGATAATCAACGTGAATGTCATATCAAAATGATATCATTTTGATCGTGTTATTTTGATGTCTAAAACGACTCAAAACATCATTGTTTTAACAAGAACAATAGAGAAAAAAAAATCAACTAGTATGCTTAAGAGGTTTGAATAAATGACCTATAAAAAGAAAAGTCTAACTATTAATCACTAGGCAATTTTTTTATAATTTTATAATTGAAAATAGTGTAAATTAAACTAATTTAAATTTAAATAAATTTATTTTGTCGCCTCGATTTCCCGTCTAGAAATAACAGAAGAACGGAGATAGTAGTTTCCCAAGGAATCATTAAGCTTATCGGAAATTGAAGCTTTGAAGGACTTGTGGTCTTTCCAATACATTAGACTTCAGCCAATGCCATTATAAATTTTGAAGGAAAATACCCATAAAATATTCACAAAATCATAACAATTTGTTCCAAAAAATTGAACCTTTTTAATGTCCTAAAAAACTTTCAATATACTCTTTAAATCTTTGAAAAAATGTTTTTACTTAATATGTGATTTTATAAAGAAAAATAAATTAATTTAAATGAATTTTAATTGAATTCATTTTTGTAAAATTTATTTCGTGTATAATCATATTTTTTATATTTAAATCATATATAAATATAACTCTTATAAAATAATAAAAAAATATAATTGATGGAATAATTGATCAAAATGTAAAGTAACATTCTTTCTCGTGTATTTATCATCATCATGCCAAGTTAGTATTATTTTAATATTAATAAACAATCAATTTAACTTATATAAAATTTAAAAAAGTTATAATAAAAAATATTAATATTAGGCTTAATATAAAGAAATGCTCAAACTATATTATTTTTAAATTTAGGTGTTTAAATTATTTTTCAGATAATTTAGGTATCTAACGTTACAAATATTATCTTTTTAAGTGTCCCAACCGTAATAAATATTAAAAAATTATGTCAAGTAACACCTTTCACATTATAGTAATTTTGAAAATTTTAATCGAAAAAATTCAAAAATATAATTAAAAAATTTGTTTATCAAATCTTAAAAAGACCAAAACTTTGAAAACCCTAATTTTCAATCCATAAACTCATTTTGGCTGTCGGCCTTTGTCATCGCCATTGTTGTCTATCGAACCTACCCTGATGACACGATTTAAACCCCAATCACGATTTAAACTCATTGTTACAAATGTCGCGATTTACGTGACCCATAAGACCTGATTGCGCGAGAGACGACAAAGGTGACGACAACTCAAAAGGGAGAAGGCAATGACAATACCAATGTCGGTGATCGTGTCCGTAAAGAGATATGATAAGGTTGAGGTCAGGAATCTTAGGGTCGATTTGAGGAATTTTTAAGAATTTGATTTTTTATAAATACGATAATAATTTAAATTTTTTAAAAAATATTTTTTCAAATTATAATAATGTGACACATGACACTTAACATAATTTTTAATAGTAGTTACCGTCGAAGCACTTAAAATAGTAATATTTAGAACATTATACACATAAATTGATCGAAAAAATATTTAAGCACTTAAATAGAAAAAAAAATAGTATAATTTGAACTTTTTTTTATATTAAGCCTAAATTTAGTTTTACGGATCACTATATAAAGAAAGGCCCACTTGCCCCTACATAACTCTTCCTGCCAACCACCTGACATCATAAATAATATTTGCATTCATACAAAATTTAATTACAAAATCCGACCGACCATTTTTATTGCGGAAACCATATAAATTGTGTACCCATTCTCTTTTATTTTAAATTCTCTATTCCCATTTATTGGTTAATACTCTATCGAAAATTCAAATACTAATAGTTAAAAAGATTTTAAGTGCCGATTATATAAATCTCGAATGTAGCCACTAAGCTTGGCGTGAAGATCTTATATTTGGTGTCTAATTATCACCCCACAGAAAGGGTTTTGGAGGAAATGCTAATGTACGGAGCAGTGAAGAAGCTGGCGACATTGCTGCATTTGAAGGGACGATGTTCGACCCAGATAAAGGTGCTGGACTTATTATATATGTTACTAAAAAATGTGAATTTCAAGGAAAGTAAGGTATATTTAACCCCGTTTACTCTCTTTTTTTTAAAAAAAAAATTAAAAAGAAACCGTCTAAGGATACCATTCTTACTTTTCTTTCATCCCTTTTTTTTAATGCAATCCAAACATAAGATTAGTAGTACGAGACTTTTGACAAATTTTCCACGTACTTCAATGACTTTGTTTTATGTTCTTAAATTAAAGTAAAAATGGGACCAAAATGAACAAAAATTAAGTTTAGTGATGCTTTTGAAATGAAAAAATAATTGAGTGACCAAAATAAAAGTATAAAAATAGTTTAATGGCTAATTATATAATTTATCCTTGCATTTTCTTAAGAGAGTTAAAATTTTAGGATGAGGCAACAATTAAACTCCATGGTAAAACATCCCAAAAAATATTTTTAACAGCTAACTCGGTAAAAAGGATAACTTTAGACTAATATTTCATTTCTATATGCAGACTAATAAATTTCACTGAGTTTACAAGATAAAACATCAAACGAAATTTTGTCACATTTCTATGTAAAAAAGGACAACTTTAGAAACAAGAAGAACATTAGGGAAAATGAAGAAAATATTTTGAAATTGACATCAGACGATTTGTCATTATTTATTGTATAATATAGAAAAGTACAACTCTAACAAAATTCTACAGATAGTTCTGTAGATTATACCCTTTTTACCCAATAATATTACAGCCACTAAGCAGAGCTTAAGTAGTACAATCTGAAGAACAAGATGGCTCAATGTTGTTTTCTTTCTTTTTCTATCCCTACAATGCCCCTCAATCTTCCATGTTTTTACATGACAGTACAAGCATTAGGATTCTCGTCACTGAAGATCTGGGGCGGATACGGATAAAACTCCGTAGCATACCTTGGCGGGTAGTAATAGTATTCGTTTTTCTTCACTTCCACCGCCACTTTCGTCTCCTCCGTCGCGCCTTCCAGCGCCGTAGCCGGCGTTTCTTCCGCGGCTGCTGCTTTGTCTTCCGTGGTTTTATCACCTTCGTCCTGTTTATCTTTGTTCTCCTCTTCAGCGCCGGACTCTGTCTTCGGTTTCTCACCGCCTTCTCCTCCACTTTTTTTCTCTTCCTTGTTGCCATCGTTGGGTTTTTCTTTTCCTTCTTTCTTGTCGGCCGGAGGCGGCGGCGGCTCTTGCTTCACTATCGCTGCGTGCTTCCCGGTTCTCTTATACACGTACTCCACCAGTTTCGGTGGTTCGAAAACTCCCTTCACCGTCACCTCGGAGCTCTTTAGATCTGGTTCAGCTGATTCAACCCCTGAAAAATAACACATTAAAACAGTTTTTTCTACTGTAAATTAATGATGATATTTGTCAAGATTCGATTCATAACTACATAGAACCTTTAAATGAACCAACCTTTCATTCTTTGGATCCGTTTCTTGATTTCCTGAGCACAAGCTTCACAATGCATGTGAACTTTCAGAACCACCGTGATCGGCACCGGCTGCAAAATTCACCGCCGGAGAAAAGAAAAACCCGAACTTTATCAGATAATGTGGAAAAGCATACATGTTTTAAACAAGACGTTTGAGAAAGAGACCGACCTCTTCTTTCTTCTCTTCAGGCTTGGGTTTATCTTTTTCTTCCGACTTTTTCTCCTCCGGCATCGGTGAAAGAAGCTCCACTTTCCGATGACTCTTCCTTTGAACTCTCTCGAGAACTTTCAAAGGATCGGCTTTCTCTCCTTTCACAACCACTTTATTACTTTTGCAATCCGTCGTTACATCTTCAACCCCTACAAATCCAACAACAACAAAAATAATCAAAATCCGAATCAAATAAACAAAAACAAAGCCAAATCCTTACGCTTTTTTATGTTTAAAACCTTGAAAACCCTTGAGACACCGGCGAACTTTCCGAGCACAGCCTTCGCAATGCATGTAAACCTTCAAGATGATCTCTTGCGGCGGCATTTCCTCCTTTGTTTCTTCCCTTTTATTTTCCTCTGCTGGCTTTTTAGCAGCTTCTTCGTCTACTTTCTTTCCATCTTTCTCAGGCTCTTTTTCCTCCATTTTCTTCTCCTCTGCAGGTTTCTCTTCTTCCTGTTAAACAAATAAAAGCACGGACCACAAATAAGATCCAAATCCAAGCAAATATAAATTGAAAACAAAAAAGATCGTAGTTTAAGATCATTACCACCCCCATTGACGCGAGCTTATTTGTTCTGTCTTTGTAAGGAGGCTGTTTTCTTTTTCTAAGAAGAGAAGCACTTAAAACTAAGTGAATCGCAGAGAATTATGAGATGTAGAAGAAACTACTAAATAGGGAGGTGAGGGTGGGGATTTTATCATCATCGTCCATTATATCATCACAAAATGACACGTGTTAGGGGTCGTGGATGAGTGGAGACAAATGGTGGATCAGCAAGGTTGCATGCTTTTCTTCCCTCTTTTTCTTTTATAAGATTATATCAGCTTTGCATACCAAAAAGAGAGATTAAATCAGCTTCCATTTAGCATCTAAATCAATAGATTTACGTTTACATTTAGGAAAATCAAAATATCACACAAAGATTGGGTTTTATTAGATATATTATTTTAAAAATCATTTATATAACACCTTTAAAATATTATTTATCTAAATAATTCTAATATATTTTATCAAAATAACAAACTTAATTTTGATATCAAATAGATTAATATGTATTGTATTAATTATGTCTTTTGAGAAGTATATATGATAAAATTTCTTTTTATCTACGTCGTGTAGAGAGGATGTATCAAAAATCAATGTGAATAAAAAATTAAAAGAGTTATATATATATATAAAGAAGGAACATAGTACATATATATTAAAGATACATGTTAGTATGAACATGAACACGTATCAAGTGATAATAATAATATGCAGATAAAAAAAATATGATTTTATATTATGAGTGAACTTATACTATTATTTAGAGGAATAAATTTATGAAATTTTAAGAGATAAAAATAAATTATCTATAAAAAATATAAAAAATATTTAAAATATGTAAAAATTTAAAATTTAAAATTTTCAAGAAATTGTTGGGTGATGTATGTAGTCTCATCTTTTGCTAAATTTTTAGGATAATGATATGTAAAAAAAATGTTCAAATAATGATCAATTGAAATTATTTACTCGAATAATGTTTTTTTACAATACAAGGGTATATCACATCGTATTCAATGCTTTTAAGCTAATGCCGCAGGGACTACCATGCGTGGGGATGGCAAACGGGTGAAGCGAGTGCGGATATCCCTTCCCTCATTTTTATATATATCTAATATTTTCGTATCCATCACTACCTACCAACCACGCGGGTAAAATTTTTAAATCCACACTACCTATACGGGTATATTCTCAAATCTACCCACACGTCCACTACCCAACTGAATATCTATCACTCATCTCGTATCTGTCTATATCTGCCCATACCCGTCTGACATCAACCTCACATATTACATAAACAACAAAGTATAAAATAAACACATCCTTTAAGAAGCATAGTAAAATAAAGGCTTATATCATAAATAAGTATATAAAGTATACTTTATTTATCATTTAAATACTTAAAGTATTATTTGATCAAAATAAATACCTAAAATCATCTTTTTAGTCAAAATAAGAACCTAAACTATTCAATTTTTTTCATTTAAGTACTTAAAGTATTATTTGGTCAAAATAAATACCTAAAATCATCTTTTTACTCAAAATAGGTACCTAAACTATTCAATTTTTTCCATCTAAGATCGAAAAAAGTTAACATGTGTTATTAATTAAAGAATACTTTAGGTACTTGAATGAAAAAAATTGGATACTTTAAGTAGTTCTTTTGACCAAAAAAATACTTTACGTACCTATTTTGACAAAAAAGATAACTTGAAATACTTATTTTGATTAAAAATATTTTAGGTACTTAAATGAAAAAGATGGTATATTTTAAGTATTTATTTGCTATATAAGCTTAAAATAAACCAAGGATTAATTCAGTTTATAACCTAACATTAATTTATATTACAAGTCATGTCCTATAAAATCTTAATACTTATAGAACAATCTTTGAAATTATACCTAAATTCATAATGGTCCAAAATTTATATGGTGAGTAATTAGTGGGCGGGTGGATGCGGGGCGGGCGGATACGGAGCGGGTAAGATCTTAAACCCGTCACCTACCCACTAGCCAAGGTGGGTACGACTTTTTACATCCACACCCGTCCACTATCCACTAAACTTATATCCATCCCCGCCCCAATTGAAGCGGATTCTGTATGAAATCTACGAAATTGTACCCATCTACCCTCCCTAACCATGCGTTTCTAAGAGAAAACACATGGTGCTTAAACTATTTTTCTACAAGTTATCAATGTCAAAAAGTTTTTTAAATTCATCACCAAAAGGTTGAAAAAAACTCGATGAAAGCTTCAAATTATGGGTTTTCAAAAAGGATTAATTATCAATTTGGTCCAATTCTATCATTAGAGTTTACATTGTGCATAAGTTGTAGATTGCATTTTTATATTATATGTAAAGATTTAATATAATCAAATAAAAGAACTAGAATTAAACATACAATTTATGCGTGATATAAGGATTAATAATAGAATTTCTTAATAGATTTCACATGGTTTAAAGACAAAAGTTCAAAAAATTTGAAGTAGTATAACTAAATTTAAAGCTTTCAGATAATATAAAAACAAAATCTATTGTCCTCGATTGCTCTCTTTTAAAAATGACATAAATTAAATTGTATTGTTTATTTTGAGAAAGTTTAATTTACTCATTATGGATTTTGAAAGTGACCTCATAGGTCTTTTAACCATTTTATATCATCACTATTATTCAACCCATGGAAGACGCATTGCAAGCTGTCGTCGGTAATGCAAACGTCGCCGAGAAGACGCATGGGTAACGCATCATGCTTGGAGTCGCATAGTAGTCCAGTCCATGTGTTTTAGCATGGACTGCGTCCCGCGTCTTGCATGGTTGTATCAATAACCCTATTCGAGCAAATAATTCTACATTGAACATTATTCGACAAATTTTTTATTCTCACAACATTATTGTAAAAAATTTGCTCATCCCCTCATCTTTACTCGGCTGATTTTTTTGCAATAATGCAGTCAGAAAAATTGTTCGAAAAGGACACTCTTGGAATTATTTCTTCAAATAGGGTAATTGTTACAGTACACCCCAAAGACGCATTGCAGTTCATGCGACTCTAATATAAATTTGGGTCCCATATTTTTTTCATATTTCATATTTTACTTAAGTTTTAATCATTAGATAAAAATTTGGGAAGGCTAAAATTGGGGGAGGAGAGTCGCATTATGATCCGGGGGAGGGGGAGTCGCATGGTGTTCCATGCGACTTTGGGGAGACGCGAGGAGCCCAATGCGACTTCGATGTGTACTGTAACGCGCCCTATTCGAACAATTGTTTTCGACTACATTATTGCAAAAAATCACCCTCTTTACTCTATCAAAAAATTAATGCTAGAATGATAATTTAAATACTTAAAAAATATAATATCTAATCAATGGGAGATTTATAATATCAAATCTCACATTACTTGGATATTGAGTTTTCTAAGTGCTTAAATAAGTCTTTTGATAAACATTCTTTTAAGTGATTGAAGATAAAACTAATATGTGTTCGATCAATATTATTTGACTCCTGCCCTACCATGCATTTTTCTTAAAATAATTTATTTTTATAATTTAATTTAATTTTTTATTTTTGTTATTCACAAACACATATTCTTAAGATTTTTAAATTTAAGTGTCACGTTATTTTTCTTTTAAAAAACTTACTCAAACATCCGTACATGCGAAAAATAATACTATTTCAATAAGGAAACTTTTATAACGCCGACGAGTATCGATGAAACCCATTAATTTAATTTATAAAACTTTAAAACTTTAAAGGACTCTACATATAATTATAAATTAGTTGAAAATTTAAAGGTAAATTATTTAAAGTAAAAGATAAACTATACCAATAATCACCTAACTATTGCCCCTTTTTATTTTGACTAACATTTTTTTAATTTTGTCAATCATGTCAATCAACTATTTAAATGCATTCAATTAATCCATTTGCCGTTAATATTTAATAGAAAAGCTAGTGTGACAATTAAAATATTTGATATTATTTCACATTTGGTCCATGTTACTTATATATTCTATTAATTTGGTCCTTATTTTAATAAATTAAAATAAACTTAACCCTCAAATCAAATGGTGCCAAAGTAGTCTTTATTCATCTTATTCTTTCAATTGGTAGGAAAACAAACAAGAAATAAAAGAAAACTTAGAAAAAATGATTTCATTTTTGAGAAATTAAAAAATATATATATCAAACGTTTTGATTTCAAAAATACATCTATATTAAGTGAAATCAAAATTTAAACTCTTAAAAATTGATCCAAAACAATTAGATTTTAGTTATAATGCGATGAATTAGGTAAAAGTAAAGTTATAATACTTGGATAGTCGAGTAATAAAAAATAAATATTTTTTAAACAAACAGTCCAAAAGTAATTATAAAATAAAAAACTAATTTAAACTCCTAAAATCATTGAATCACACTAATTGTCTTGCATGTATCAATGTAAAATATAGTATTATAAGCAAAAAACGAAGAACATGAAGAGATGATGACACGTTTCATAACAAAACACTGGCATGTTTATTTTACTTTATTATTAGAAATAATAAAATCTGATAAAGAGAACAGAAAAATTGTATTGGCTGACATTAAATTGGATTCCTGTCCAATTAAATCTGATTAAATGTGTAATTATACTAAATATTTTAACTGTTACATCAACTTTTCTGTTAAATATTAACGGTAAGTGATTTTGTTGAATGCATTTAAATAGCACTTGAGTGACCCTGATTGATAAAATTTAAAAATGAAGGTCAAAATAAAAGGAGTAATAGCAGGTGGTCATTGGCATATTTTACCTTTTATTTTAAACAATTTACCTTAAACTTGTATGAATTATGTTAGATAAAAATATATTGTAGTTTACTATAAAATTTTCTGGCCTCGCCACTGAAGATCTATACATATTGTCAATGATTAATTTTTTTTAAAATAAATAATATATTATAATCACCTTAAACTATTAAAAATATTACAAATTTCCAAAAACATATAATCTTTTTATTAATCTAAACCAACCCACGAACAACACTAATTCCAAATATTAAAACCTTGTGATTTTATAAATAATAAACACTTTCTTTCTTAAAAGACAAAAATGTAAAAA